GGACCAGAAAATACCATAGACCTGTCCATTCACTCCTATTATCCCAATAGGACCTATAGCGCTAACGCGGAAGTGGGCGTGGCTTCGGTTCCCTATTAAAATATAGGGTTAAAATGATGTTATTTTTTAAATCAACATTTTACACAGTCTCCCACATTTTTTGAAATTGGAAATGTAAATGTAATAGTTGAGTCACTTAATGTCATGCAAAATATAAAAATATGAAACTATATGGGGAAAAAAAAAAAACGATTCCCTGTCATTATTGAGCAGTTTTTTTGTTTGTTTTTTTATTTATCTATTTATTTATTGTGACAGTTTGTTAAATAAAGGACCTATTTTAAGTTTTAGGGTGTGGCAGAATTTAGTTGTGATCCGTTGCCATAGCAACGTGGAATTCCAGGAGGAAGCCTCAGCCAGCCCTGCAGTGACATCAGCTATGACATCACAGTGATGACATCAGAGCTATGAAAAGCTTTGATGTCTTCACAGTGATGTCATCAGAGCTTTGAGGACTTGAGGTCGAAGGCATTCAAAGGCAGCATGAGAGCGAGTGTTTAACTGCACCGAGGTGAAGAAAGACCAAATTGGACTTTGCTTTAAGATCATCGCTTAAAGAGACGCAATCATTTTAAAACAGCTAACAAACACAAACGCAGGTATGAGTCTCATCAGCACACCAGAGAGGATGGAACTGAATTTTTATCTGGCCTCCAAAGAGACTCTTAGGCCAGTCGTCCGTGCGTTCATGAACCAGCTGACGGCAGAAAACTGGCAGAGACTGGAGACTGGGCGTCTTGACCCAGAGACAAGTACTCGCGTGACAGCTTTGTGTGTAAATGTTATTGAAATTTTGGCTCAAAGTCTGCATGAGTCTCTCAACAGAAGACTTGAAAAACAGAAAGACTGGTCACCAGGATCTGCTAAATCTGTGTGTAAGGAGGACGTGCGCGAATGTTTAGGGAACATGGGTGAAGTCATCGCACAGACTGTGGCAGAGGTACAGGGTGTAGGAGACATCCACTACCCTAAGAGCGGGCGGGTGACAGAGCTCATGGTCACAGCAGTCACAGAGAGAGTCAACTCCAGGCTGTCTAAAACAAGTGACAGTGACGACTCGGAGGAGCACAAGACTTCCCCCACTATTCTAATCAAACTGAGGGGACACTTCAAGAGGATTCTCAAAAACTGCTACGAAAGGATGAAGACAATGTTGCACCGAGTCAAATCAACCTGCACTGTGCAGGAGAAGGAAGAGGTGGTGGTACCCACTCAGACCTCTGTAACTTCTCTGCAAGAAGAGAAACCAGGCAGGGCCGAGTCTACGGTCAACAAATCCCCGACTATTTTTCATGTGACCAAAGAAATCCTGGAGCAACAACTGGAAGAGATTGTTCATGATGCTCAGAGTTACTCCACAGAGGAAGAAGATAGCCTGCTTCTTTCTCAAACCAGCAAGGACTACGAGTTATCAGAGTTATCATCTCAGATTGTTGAAAATTTTACAGAGGATGTTCCACAGGACCTGGCTGGATGTCACACAGAAGATCTCTTAGGATACCGCAGGAGAAAAGTCATCAGGCAGATGAGGACTGTCTTTGTCCAAACATTTGCTCGAGGGTCAATCCTGAGCATGATGTCTAAATTCAGACGCAAGCCGGCCTCCCGTAAAGAACAGGAAGCTGTGAAATTAGTCAATTCACAGCTGATTAAGAGTGTGGATGATCTTTTAACAGAGTTCATTACAACAAACAATCAGGTACCAAGTCGTGGGTCATTAGAGGATTGCCCCTTTGAGAAATTAGCCAGCATCTTTTCCGGTGACGAGCTGGAAAGTTTTGCTGAAAAGCTGAGTGACACATTGGCCAGTCACTTGACACCACCAAAAGTCCAAGAAAAAACACACCGAGAAGAGATTCGTGCTGGAGTAGACAAGATCCTTAAAGAGACGAGGAAGTGGCTAAAGAAGCAGAGCCGACTGCGCAAGATTAGGAAGGACTGTGTGAGCATGACTCTCAAGAAGTTCAGGAGATTTGTGCAGAATAACCAGTCAGATCTCAGTCCCCCCAAAACTGGAGCTGAGGATCAGACCTGCCCCACACCTGTGCGAGAGGAGGTTCAAAGCTTCACAGCTGAGAAGGAAAAGGAAGAGGCCTGCTCAGATGAGGAGGAGGAAGAAGAGGCCTGCTCAGATGAGGAGGAGGAAGAAGAGTTCTACACAGCTGAGGAGGAGAAGGAAGAGGCCTGCTCAGATGAGGAGGAGAAGGAAGAGGTCTACACAGCTGAGGAGCAAGTAGAACAGGCTCAGGTGGCAAAACCATCAGGTCAAAACACTGAATCTGTTCTGTGGGACCCACTGATTTGCCAAATCATTGTGAAGATGTTCTTACGCAAAGTCATGAAGAATTTCTTCCCCGATCAGACCTACAAATCAGCTGAAGCCAGACTGACAGACATGCTGTATGAAAAGATGAGTGGTACTTCTGTTCATGTGGATTTGAGCCTGAAAAGCATCAAAAAGAAATGCAAAGCTGTGTACAAAGAAGTGCTCAAAAATGTTGATGCTTCAGTTCTTTGGTTAAATCTCTTGGAAGAGGATCAACCACTCCTTGAGGCTGTGGCTGAGGCTCTAATGAAGCATTTTTCATCAGAAAGACCCAGCTCCATCCAAAAGTTCTTCAGATGTCTTCTCCGGACTTTCACTTCAGCTTGGACCCCCTGGGCTTCCCGCCTAACTGCAGCTTGTCGCGCATGAAGTCCTAGATGGATATGAGGACAGACTTCAGGCCCATACATGGCCACCAGCGAATGGGTTTACTCCGAGTGCTTCGGTTTCTCCCAACACAAGACTAAAAACCTTGAAAAAAATAAAATAAAATAAAATAGCAGAGTGGCGCAGTGGAAGCGTGCTGGGCCTAAAACCCAGAGGTCGATGGATCGAAACCATCCTCTGCTAACCATGCTGGAAATGTGCAGCTGCTCCGTTCATGTCTCCCACAGGTGATGTTTCTTCTTCATCAGAATTGGCCATTTTTAATCAAAAGATAATGACACAAAAATCATTGGGACATACCTGCATGTCCTGGATCCTAGGGTTGACAAATAACTTAAGGATCCAGGACATGCAGGTATGTCCAAATGATTCTCCCATGAAGCTAAGATCATATTCTGGATGTAGGTGCAAACAGAAATGAAATGTGATGGAAAACTGAGCACAAATAAGCTATTCTAGCCATTTTTCATATCAATATGGGATAACATACAAATGAAAACACTCAAAAAAAGCATTTTGCACTATGAGGAAGTCATATTTTACACAGGCAGGCAAGTGGGGCTGACTCCAGATGAGGTCAGGACTGTATAATGTGTCAAATATGGCGATTTTCCACCTAACGAACCACACGTTTTGACTGATTACTCAAAAAGTGATGGAATGCCCATCCTGAAACTTGCAGGGATGCTAGTGGACATGATCGTCTTTCTTTAGTGTGAATATGAAGAAAATTGAAGGACGCATGTTTTTTGCTATTTCCAATTTAAGGTTTTGGTCTTTTATAATTTTTTTTACACCTCTGTTAACATCAGCATAAAGAGTCATTATTGATATGATTTCAACCCGTTTGACCCTGAATTCAAATCATCACCGACCTTCAGGAGGACTTGGAGACTCCTGGTTAAGAACTCAGCAGGATCCGCTCGTTAACTTTAATTAGATGATACGTGAGAGGTTCAGATTAATGAATGAACGAATGAACCCTTAATCAATCACTTATCAATCACTGACGGCGCTCCTTTGCAGCTTATTAACATGTATTGATGAACATCTATAAATGGATTATTGACTGTTGAACCTCAGTTTGGAGCCTCACATACGAGATGTTCCCAAAAAGTCGTTTGATCATTTAAAGAAGATCTCCAGAGTGCGCCGGTTTCTCTCTCTCGAGCCGACGCAGAGACTCTTCTTCATGTAGAATCCACTATCTCCATGCTCTCCTCTCTGGTCTTCATAAAAACATCTCACAGCTTCAGCTCCAACAAAGTTCAGCTGCACACATGCTGACGAATGTCAGTTTTGGTTTGTTGGCTTGTAGAGGTTGAAGATGAGATTGTTTTGTTTCACCTGGAGATAAAGAGCAAATGTCTTCAACAGCACTGTGGGAAAGGGGCAGGATTAAAAAGAAGAATATCTCAACTCTCAGCCACTGAATCTACACAAAAACTGTAGGACCCTATGTGAAACTGAGCCTTCTGTATGGTTCAAAGTTTGCATAGTTAAAGCTTGGCATGACTTTACGTGCCACAGACACTGCTGTCAAAATTAAATAATATCAAAAGCTGTGATCATAGTTAACATTTAATCACTTCGGAGAACAACTTGTAGTCAAATGTGTGGACAAGTTTCAACATCAGATTTGTCATTTTTGCGCTGCTTCTATTAAAATATAGGGTTAAAATGATGTTATTTTTTAAATCAACATTTTACACAGTCTCCCACATTTTTTGAAATTGGAAATGTAAATGTAATAGTTGTGTCACTTAATGTCATGCAAAATATAAAAATATGAAACTATATGGGGAAAAAAAAAAACGATTCCCTGTCATTATTGAGCAGTTTTTTTGTTTGTTTTTTTATTTATCTATTTATTTATTGTGACAGTTTGTTAAATAAAGGACCTATTTTAAGTTTTAGGGTGTGGCAGAATTTAGTTGTGATCCGTTGCCATAGCAACGTGGAATTCCAGGAGGAAGCCTCAGCCAGCCCTGCAGTGACATCAGCTATGACATCACAGTGATGACATCAGAGCTATGAAAAGCTTTGATGTCATCACAGTGATGTCATCAGAGCTTTGAGGACTTGAGGTCGAAGGCATTCAAAGGGAGCATGAGAGCGAGTGTTTAACTGCACCGAGGTGAAGAAAGACCAAATTGGACTTTGCTTTAAGATCATCGCTTAAAGAGACGCAATCATTTTAAAACAGCTAACAAACACAAACGCAGGTATGAGTCTCATCAGCACACCAGAGAGGATGGAACTGAATTTTTATCTGGCCTCCAAAGAGACTCTTAGGCCAGTCGTCCGTGCGTTCATGAACCAGCTGACGGCAGAAAACTGGCAGAGACTGGAGACTGGGCGTCTTGACCCAGAGACAAGTACTCGCGTGACAGCTTTGTGTGTAAATGTTATTGAAATTTTGGCTCAAAGTCTGCATGAGTCTCTCAACAGAAGACTTGAAAAACAGAAAGACTGGTCACCAGGATCTGCTAAATCTGTGTGTAAGGAGGACGTGCGCGAATGTTTAGGGAACATGGGTGAAGTCATCGCACAGACTGTGGCAGAGGTACAGGGTGTAGGAGACATCCACTACCCTAAGAGCGGGCGGGTGACAGAGCTCATGGTCACAGCAGTCACAGAGAGAGTCAACTCCAGGCTGTCTAAAACAAGTGACAGTGACGACTCGGAGGAGCACAAGACTTCCCCCACTATTCTAATCAAACTGAGGGGACACTTCAAGAGGATTCTCAAAAACTGCTACGAAAGGATGAAGACAATGTTGCACCGAGTCAAATCAACCTGCACTGTGCAGGAGAAGGAAGAGGTGGTGGTACCCACTCAGACCTCTGTAACTTCTCTGCAAGAAGAGAAACCAGGCAGGGCCGAGTCTACGGTCAACAAATCCCCGACTATTTTTCATGTGACCAAAGAAATCCTGGAGCAACAACTGGAAGAGATTGTTCATGATGCTCAGAGTTACTCCACAGAGGAAGAAGATAGCCTGCTTCTTTCTCAAACCAGCAAGGACTACGAGTTATCAGAGTTATCATCTCAGATTGTTGAAAATTTTACAGAGGATGTTCCACAGGACCTGGCTGGATGTCACACAGAAGATCTCTTAGGATACCGCAGGAGAAAAGTCATCAGGCAGATGAGGACTGTCTTTGTCCAAACATTTGCTCGAGGGTCAATCCTGAGCATGATGTCTAAATTCAGACGCAAGCCGGCCTCCCGTAAAGAACAGGAAGCTGTGAAATTAGTCAATTCACAGCTGATTAAGAGTGTGGATGATCTTTTAACAGAGTTCATTACAACAAACAATCAGGTACCAAGTCGTGGGTCATTAGAGGATTGCCCCTTTGAGAAATTAGCCAGCATCTTTTCCGGTGACGAGCTGGAAAGTTTTGCTGAAAAGCTGAGTGACACATTGGCCAGTCACTTGACACCACCAAAAGTCCAAGAAAAAACACACCGAGAAGAGATTCGTGCTGGAGTAGACAAGATCCTTAAAGAGACGAGGAAGTGGCTAAAGAAGCAGAGCCGACTGCGCAAGATTAGGAAGGACTGTGTGAGCATGACTCTCAAGAAGTTCAGGAGATTTGTGCAGAATAACCAGTCAGATCTCAGTCCCCCCAAAACTGGAGCTGAGGATCAGACCTGCCCCACACCTGTGCGAGAGGAGGTTCAAAGCTTCACAGCTGAGGAGGAGGAAGAAGAGGCCTGCTCAGATGAGGAGGAGGAAGAAGAGGTCTACACAGCTGAGGAGGAGAAGGAAGAGGCCTGCTCAGATGAGGAGGAGAAGGAAGAGGTCTACACAGCTGAGGAGCAAGTAGAACAGGCTCAGGTGGCAAAACCATCTGGTCAAAACACTGAATCTGTTCTGTGGGACCCACTGATTTGCCAAATCATTGTGAAGATGTTCTTACGCAAAGTCATGAAAAATTTCTTCCCCGATCAGACCTACAAATCAGCTGAAGCCAGACTGACAGACATGCTGTATGAAAAGATGAGTGGTACTTCTGTTAATGTGGATTTGAGCCTGAAAAGCATCAAAAAGAAATGCAAAGCTGTGTACAAAGAAGTGCTCAAAAATGTTGATGCTTCAGTTCTTTGGTTAAATCTCTTGGAAGAGGATCAACCACTCCTTGAGGCTGTGGCTGAGGCTCTAATGAAGCATTTTTCATCAGAAAGACCCAGCTCCATCCAAAAGTTCTTCAGATGTCTTCTCCGGACTTTCACTTCAGCTTGGACCCCCTGGGCTTCCCGCCTAACTGCAGCTTGTCGCGCATGAAGTCCTAGATGGATATGAGGACAGACTTCAGGCCCATACATGGCCACCAGCGAATGGGTTTACTCCGAGTGCTTCGGTTTCTCCCAACACAAGACTAAAAACCTTGAAAAAAAAATAAAATAAATAAAATAGCAGAGTGGCGCAGTGGAAGCGTGCTGGGCCTAAAACCCAGAGGTCGATGGATCGAAACCATCCTCTGCTAACCATGCTGGAAATGTGCAGCTGCTCCGTTCATGTCTCCCACAGGTGACGTTTCTTCTTCATCAGAATTGGCCATTTTTAATCAAAAGATAATGACACAAAAATCATTGGGACATACCTGCATGTCCTGGATCCTAGGGTTGACAAATAACTTAAGGATCCAGGACATGCAGGTATGTCCAAATGATTCTCCCATGAAGCTAAGATCATATTCTGGATGTAGGTGCAAACAGAAATGAAATGTGATGGAAAACTGAGCACAAATAAGCTATTCTAGCCATTTTTCATATCAATATGGGATAACATACAAATGAAAACACTCAAAAAAAGCATTTTGCACTATGAGGAAGTAATATTTTACACAGGCAGGCAAGTGGGGCTGACTCCAGATGAGGTCAGGACTGTATAATGTGTCAAATATGGCGATTTTCCACCTAACGAACCACACGTTTTGACTGATTACTCAAAAAGTGATGGAATGCCCATCCTGAAACTTGCAGGGATGCTGGTGGACATGATCGTCTTTCTTTAGTGTGAATATGAAGACAATTGAAGGACGCATGTTTTTTGCTATTTCCAATTTAAGGTTTTGGTCTTTTATAATTTTTTTTTTACACCTCTGTTAACATCAGCATAAAGAGTCATTATTGACATGATTTCAACCCGTTTGACCCTGAATTCAAATCATCACCGACCTTCAGGAGGACTTGGAGACTCCTGGTTAAGAACTCAGCAGGATCCGCTCGTTAACTTTAATTAGATGATACGTGAGAGGTTCAGATTAATGAATGAACGAATGAACCCTTAATCAATCACTTATCAATCACTGACGGCGCTCCTTTGCAGCTTATTAACATGTATTGATGAACATCTATAAATGGATTATTGACTGTTGAACCTCAGTTTGGAGCCTCACATACGAGATGTTCCCAAAAAGTCGTTTTATCATTTAAAGAAGATCTCCAGAGTGCGCCGGTTTCTCTCTCTGGAGCCGACGCAGAGACTCTTCTTCATGTAGAATCCACTATCTCCATGCTCTCCTCTCTGGTCTTCATAAAAACATCTCACAGCTTCAGCTCCAACAAAGTTCAGCTGCACACATGCTGACGAATGTCAGTTTTGGTTTGTTGGCTTGTAGAGGTTGAAGATGAGATTGTTTTGTTTCACCTGGAGATAAAGAGCAAATGTCTTCAACAGCACTGTGGGAAAGGGGCAGGATTAAAAAGAAGAATATCTCAACTCTCAGCCACTGAATCTACACAAAAACTGTAGGACCCTATGTGAAACTGAGCCTTCTGTATGGTTCAAAGTTTGCATAGTTAAAGCTTGGCATGACTTTACGTGCCACAGACACTGCTGTCAAAATTAAATAATATCAAAAGCTGTGATCATAGTTAACATTTAATCACTTCGGAGAACAACTTGTAGTCAAATGTGTGGACAAGTTTCAACATCAGATTTGTCATTTTTGCGCTGCTTCTATTAAAATATAGGGTTAAAATGATGTTATTTTTTAAATCAACATTTTACAGTCTCCCACATTTTTTGAAATTGGAAATGTAAATGTAATAGTTGTGTCACTTAATGTCATGCAAAATATAAAAATATGAAACTATATGGGGAAAAAAAAAACGATTCCCTGTCATTATTGAGCAGTTTTTTTGTTTGTTTTTTTATTTATCTATTTATTTATTGTGACAGTTTGTTAAATAAAGGACCTATTTATGCTGATGTTAACAGAGGTGTAATGAGAGTAAATAAATGTGTTAATTATGATTTTATTTTAGAAGATCCTCCTCAGGTCTTATCAGAAGTTTATTAAGAAGGGATCAATAACAGGGACCTTCAGTCAGGAATGTTGCTCAGAGGTAGTCTGTCCTCGACATAAAGCTCCCTGATAGGACGCTGGTCCTCTGGGGACGACGGTGACCCTTTGAGGACTTCCTGTGACTCAGATGAGCAGTAATCATCATTGATCATCTGATCGGAGCAGATATCTGGTCTTCTGAGTTCTCTCTAACTCTGGTTTTTAGAGGGACAGGGTCAGCATGAAGACAGTCTCAGGGATGATCCAGAGACCCATGAGGACGTGTCAGAGCTGTTGTCCTCTGAGGACATTCCTCCACAGTGATTGATGCCCTCATGTAAATCAGGTCAGCTGCAGCGGGCCTGATGGGCTGATTGATTGCGTCTTTAACACCCGATGAGTCCCTCAGACTGGAGTGCTGCTCCTCTCTGCCGGTCCTGCTCCTTTGTCTCAGCCCCAAAGTGAACCATTGAGACGAGTGAGTCCTGTGTCCTCCTCAGCCGCCTTTGTGAACCTCACAATGACCATTCAGCTCTGTTGGTGGTAGAGCTGCTTTTCATCCTGCTCTCCAGCTCTGCAGCAGCCGAGCGTGAGGCGGAGAGGACCCTGCACAAACACAGAGACAGGGACAGAGCTCTGCAGGGTCCGCAGAGAGGACGGGGTTAAAACAGGGAGGAAGACTTCACCGCCGCCGCCGCCGCCATTCTTCTTATGCGTGCAAACCCACCCTTCCATATTCACATGTGAGCTCTGCAGGGTCCGCCGAGGGTTCAAACAGGGACAGAGACTTTAAACAGTGTCAGCTGATGTGACCAATGACAGTCCTGTATTCTCGATGAGACGACCGTCATCAGGTTTACAAAGACCTCCGCGTCGGATCAGAGCCTCTAATCCTCCACTCACCAGGCATGTAGGCGTTCAGCCTCCTGCATCCGAACCTTCAGGAGTTCTCAGAGTTTAGAAAATTCATAAAGTCGAGTTTTCCTCAGACGGCCTCATCTTTTCATCTCCTCATAATCAAACGTGTTTCAAACCGTGTTTTTAAGTTTTCAGATCACTGTTAGACCGTGAAGTTCAGGAGGAAGAGGTTCAGTTTGGACCGACTCAGATTATCATGAGATTTCTGTGTTAGAGGATTAAGAAGTTAGAGATGATGCAGGGCTCCACAGTGCGACTAAAAACAGATGTGTGTGAATCGTCAAATATATTTAGGGTCACATGTGTGCAAATAAAAAAATCAACAAATATGTAAACACGGCGGTGAAGTTAGTTTCAGGTTGGATATATTTTCCTGTAAATACGGCGGTGAAGTTAGTTTTAGGTTGGATATATTTTCCTGTAAATACGGCGGTGAAGTTAGTTTCAGGTTGGATATATTCTCCTGTAAATACGGCGGTGAAGTTATACGGCGGTGAAGTTAGTTTTAGGTTGGATATATTTTCCTGTAAATACGGCGGTGAAGTTAGTTTTAGGTTGGATATATTTTCCTGTAAATACGGCGGTGAAGTTAGTTTCAGGTTGGATATATTTTCCTGTAAATACGGCGGTGAAGTTAGTTTCAGGTTGGATATATTTTCCTGTAAATACGGCGGTGAAGTTAGTTTCAGGTTGGATATATTTTCCTGTAAATACGGCGGTGAAGTTAGTTTCAGGTTGGATATATTTTCCTGTAAATACGGCGTTGAAGTTAGTTTCAGGTTGGATATATTTTCCTGTAAATACGGCGGTGAAGTTAGTTTCAGGTTGGATATATTTTCCTGTAAATACGGCGGTGAAGTTAGTTTCAGGTTGGATATATTTTCCTGTAAATACGGCGGTGAAGTTAGTTTCAGGTTGGATATATTTTCCTGTAAATACAGCGGTGAAGTTAGTTTCAGGTTGGATATATTTTCCTGTAAATACGGCGGTGAAGTTAGTTTCAGGTTGGATATATTTTCCTGTAAATACGACGGTGAAGTTAGTTTCAGGTTGGATATATTTTCCTGTAAATACGGCGGTGAAGTTAGTTTCAGGTTGGATATATTTTCCTGTAAATACGGCGGTGAAGTTAGTTTCAGGTTGGATATATTTTCCTGTAAATACAGCGGTGAAGTTAGTTTCAGGTTGGATATATTTTCCTGTAAATACGGCGGTGAAGTTAGTTTCAGGTTGGATATATTTTCCTGTAAATACGGCGGTGAAGTTAGTTTCAGGTTGGATATATTTTCCTGTAAATACAGCGGTGAAGTTAGTTTCAGGTTGGATATATTCTCCTGTAAATACAGCGGTGAAGTTAGTTTCAGGTTGGATATATTTTCCTGTAAATACGGCGGTGAAGTTAGTTTCAGGTTGGATATATTTTCCTGTAAATACGGCGGTGAAGTTAGTTTTAGGTTGGATATATTTTCCTGTAAATACGGCGGTGAAGTTAGTTTCAGGTTGGATATATTTTCCTGTAAATACGGCGGTGAAGTTAGTTTCAGGTTGGATATCTGACGGACATTCTCTGAGGACCTACCGGTGTCTTCTCTCTCTCCATAACCGGGAATAACAACAGCAGCGAGGTTAAATCTACTCGACACCCTCACTGTCAACGTCGGTGTTGAATAAGTGACCGTCAATAAATTACCGGTTCATGTTCTCAGAAAAGGCTGTTTTCCTTCAATAGCTTCACTGTCATGTGACCAAAAGAACTAAAACTGATTTCTAATAATAGAACTAAGGTCGATCAATAAGACAAACATTATTGATCAGTTTTCATTGATCCCCTAAAGTTCTTTGTGCTCCGTACTTTTTTAACTCAGGAGAACAAAGTTAGAGTCGAACCCTGAGGTGAAAATTTACAAATCTGAGGACTGAACACTTTTTGATTGTAATCCTCCTCCCCTCTCCTCCTCTCCTCTCCTTCTCTCCCCTCTCCTCCTCTTCTTCTCTCCTCCCCTTCCCTCCTTTCCTCTCCTCTTCTCCTCTCCTTCACTCCTCCTCTCCTCTCCTCTACTCCTCCTCTCCTCTCCTCCCCTCTCCTCTCCTCCCCTCCTCCTCCCCTCTCCTCTCCTCCCCTCCTCCTCCCCTCTCCTCTCCTCTCCTCCTCCTCCTCTCTCCTCCTCCTCCCCTCTCCTCTCCTCCTCCCCTTTTATCCCCTCTTCCCCTCTCCTCCCCTCCTCCTCCTTCCCTCCTCCTCCCCTCTCCTCTCTCCTCCTCTCCTCCTCTCCTCTCCTCTCCTCCCCTCTCCTCTCCTCCTCCTCTCCTCTCCTCCTCCCCCCTCCTCTCCTCTCCTCCTCTCCTCTCCTCTCCTCTCCTCCCCTCCTCCTCTCCTCCTCCTCCTCTCCTCCCTGACTCTCGGTCATGTCTCTACTCTTATGTCTCCTTGTCTCCTTGTCTCCTTGTCTCCAGGTCTCGTCTCATGTTATCCTCTGTGTCTTCGTGTGTCTCTTAAAAGTGGTCTGAAG